TCCCCTTCCTCTCCTTTCTCCTTTGTCAATGATTCACAATGTGGGTGCACCTCACAGTCAGTCAGTAGACAATCATATCCAGTAAACTACATCATCTGGCCTGGAACATCCTTCAGATACTATAAATTATTAGCTTTCTAAGTGAAAAAATACTTCCCAAATCTGGTTTAACTAAAATGGTAACTTCCAACTTGCAAGATACTCCTTGAGAGTTGATGTTCAAGTAGTGAATGATAAGGTAACTCTAAAGTAAGATTTACAAAAGGCGAAGCTTACCAGTTGATGGAGGGTAGAAGGGTGAGCAGGCACAGGGAAGTGACATGTCAAAAACATTCTAAACGAGTTGCATAAGGCTGAGGTAAGCTATACCTTTGACCCACCTCATTCTTTTATTATATCTAAGATTGTGCTGGTTTCAACAGCTTACACGAGGTATATTTCCACTCTTCTAACTCTCAACCAGATTAAATGTTCGAATTGGCTTATCAAATAAAAACCACAGTACACGGGGCACATCCATTAACAGATTTGTAAGAAACAACACAAGTAGACCAATTTAGCCCTTAATTGCTCCTATTAGTTAAGAAGAAAAATACTCTCCCTCCCCAGGCTTTCGGTGGGAATTGTTATAAAACATTAATTTAAAAAAAAAAGTGCCACAACAACCCAATTTCAATGTTTTCAAATTTTACATAATCTATAAGATACACATAGCACCAAAGAGAGTAGGAGAGGAAAGTGAAGAAAATACAAATGCTCTGGATTTTCCAATACATAAACACGCGGAAACAGCATATACTAAGAGAATTATATATAGGTAAAACCTGACCATTCTTTTGAGATTTACAGTTTGTTAAAGTAACATTACACAATTAAGTATCATGATAAAAAAATAAACACCAAAGTATAATATGAATCACAAGCTTTAGTTACTTTGCTAAATTCTAGGACTAGACCACTCATCAGAAAGCAAAGATGATGTGTATTTTATCGCTGACTGCTAATGATACATGAAAATAATCTGAACCTGTTAGGACATTCATCATTTAGCTTCATGGCACTCATCCTTTTTTTTTTTAATCCTCACCTGAGGATATGTTTTTCTTCT